TTCACTCTGGGGCTGAGGAACTGAAGCTTGGCCTGGGGTTTGCACTCTACCCAGTGGCCCACGGGAGCCATGCGGGGTCCTAAGGGGAGAGTGGCCGCACAGGACACTAGAGCTGGACGGCAGTGGTGTCCAGAGGCTGGTGGAGCCGTGGGCCTTGTCCACCGACTGGATACGGGGTCAGGAGGAGGGCAGGGGACCCCGGGCTGGGTGAGCGGTGGCCACGAGCACACGGGGTCAGGGGGCCGCAGGACGTGGAGGGAGCTGAACAGGCCCCGGCAGGAGCCATTTTGCAGCTCGGGGAGAATGCCAGACGGAGGCCCGAGTGGGTGTCGGCAGCCCAGAAAGGAAGTCCGTGTGTCCAGCTTGGCAAACGGCACCCCTCCTTCCGACCCTGAGGGCCGGGGCCTGGCGTCACCCTCTGCATCCGGGGTGCAGTTGGGGGACATGCGAGCAAGGATGGCCCTCGTGAGAGAGAGCTGAGGACAGGCTTCCCTGGGTGGGCGCGATGCCGCAGAGCTTAGTGTGAGAAGAGTGACCGGGCAGGTGTCCGCAGGGAGCGTGTGCCAGGGCCCCGAGGCGGGAACACGCCAGTGAGTTCGCCCAGATGCAGGGGCCATCATGGGGATCTGTTGGCCTCCGCGGGCCCGGCCTCGTGTTGTAAAGGACCCCCTGGGCTCCACGGAGGTGGGGAGCGGAGCTGAGCGCCAGCCGTCTGGAGGGAGGCGCTCGGGCACGGCCTGGAGCGCCGGGGCCGCGGGATGGGGGCGCCTCTGGGATGGGCCCGGCCACCACTCCGCTCACCGCAGCGTCCTCAGCACTTGGGACAGGGACCCAGTCGGGCAGGTGTCTCCTCATGTGATTTTCCTAAGTGACCACAAACCGGGCAGCTCGAAGGACGGAATCCGCTCTCTCCCAATTCTGGAGGCCAGAGTCCCAAGTCAGCTTCTCCCGTCAGTGTCCCAGGGCCGAGACCCCCCCCCCCAGCTCCCGGGCTCTCGGGGCCACCCTCGCCGCCTGTCCGCCCCTCTCTTCTCTCACATGGACACCTGTGGTTGGACTGAGGCTCACCCTGAGTCCCGGAGGAGCTCATCCTCCGCTGACACCTGCAAAGACCCTCTTTCCACATAAGGTCACATTCACGGGCTCCAGGGCTCAGGATGTAGACACGTCGTCTTTTGCGGGGAACAGCATTCAGCGCACCACTGTAGGAATCCGTAAACGTTTGCTGAACGGGTGACAATGGCCTGCGGTGCCCTGGCTCTGGCCCTGACCTCGCCTCTCACACTGACCCCTCTTCCTGCTGCAGCCTAGCCTCCGTCCCTAACCCCAGACTCCCCAGGCCCCTCTCCACCCCTTCTTCCAGAAGAACCCCATGCTCCCCACCTCCTCCAGGCCTGCACTCCAAAATAACTCTCTCCATGAGACCCCAACGTCTCTCTCCATGACCCTGAGCCTCGGGGAGCCCTGCAAACGGGAGTGCTCACCCTCGTGTGTGAACGAATGAATGAATGAATGAGGCCCCAGGGATGAGCGGAGAGTTGACAGAGCAGAGGGAGGGGAGAGAAGCAGAACTGGGCAGGGCCGTTCACTGCAGGGTGTGCCTGTACTGCTGGGCCCTGGGCCCTCTGCTCACCTGGTCCCCCAGCCTCACCCCCGTCAGGCCCCAAGGTGGGCCCGGTGTCCCCATCCAACTTGCTCTTTCCTCATCCTGGGAGGCCGGTCCTGCCTCCTCCAGGCGGCCCCCGGGTCCCCCTGCTTGGAGCTCTCAGTGAGCGTGGGCACCACAGCCGCCTGTGTGGATGCCACTCGAGACCTTGGAGGACTGGCTGTGAGCCTGTTACGGCCCAGCACCAGGCCAGGAAACACCAGAGACGGGAAGAAGGGTGGGGTTCAGGGCGGGAGGCCTTCCCCCCACCCAGACAGGCCCGAGAGCCCCGGGTCTGCCGGCGGAATGCTTCCTGGCCCCACTGCCCACAATGGCGCACCTTTGGACCCAGGGCTTGGGGGGCGGGCAGGGAGGCGACCAGCTGAGGCCTCGAGCATCACGGATGCCAGCTCTGCCACCTTCTCTCCAGCCCAGGGACCCTAAAGGCCAGTGGCCAGGGCAATCGGGGACATGGTACAGGTCTGAGGAGGAGCTCCTGCTGTGGCCTCTTTCTCAGGGAGAGCGTGAGCCTGCCCGTGTGCGTGCAGCTGGCCGGGCGGGTGACATGAAACCCCATCTTCGGCAACAGCTAGTTTCCAGAACTTTTTGGAACCCAGTGGGCCCCCAGCACCCACCCCCAGGCTGGAAGAGGCCCCTGGGGTTGGCACTGGAGACACTTCCCTTCTCCTCAGTGGCTCCTGGAAACCCTCCCCTCAGAGCCCCTTTTTGCAGCAGGGGCACCCCGTCTTCGAGGACTGGGCTCCTGAGATTGTCCCAGGCCCCTGGCCCCACGCAGATGGCCCTGGTCCCCGCCGAAAGCGCACAGGCTTCCAGGCCGCCCCGACCTGCCGTTTGTGCCGTGAGGGAGCAGAGGGGCGCCCGCACCCCCAGGGGCCTCCCTCCCTGCCCCTCCCCACCCCCGGACCCCGTGCGCCGGTGAAAGAACAGAGACCTCAGAACAAGATAAATTTGAATGCTTTATTGGGATTGCAAGCAGTAAACGTTAAAGACAAAACCCAAGCAATGAGTTTTGCCAGAAATATCAGCATGTTAAAGGGGGCGAGTGGAGGCCCGCACCAGCCACTGCCAGATGGACCAGGGCAGCGGGCGAGATGACATTCGGTGCTCGGCACGTGGGGGTCTTCAGGTGATGGCACGGTGGGGGGGACCCAAGAGGGGGTCCTGCTGAAGACAGTTGAGGGGGGGAGAAAAGATGGACAGCCACAAGCAGGGGCTCAGGAGGTCAGAGGGGGGCCCGGGTCAGGATGGCTGAGGACCCTCGGAGAGCTGCTCACAGGGGGACACAGAGGAGCGTTGGCAGACGTCCCGGAGCACCCATCCCAAAGGAGGCAGAATGTAACACTGGGTGGGCTGGGCGTCCGGTAGGATGGGCAGACAATTTAGGGTGCCTCCGCGTCTTTTTGGATCTCAGGCCAATCTGGGTCCCAGTTACGACGATTTGGCTCTTTGGGTTTCTATCCAATGGTCCGAATGGCCCAGTCCCCGGACGCCTGCCAAAGGGCCCTCTGTGCCTCGAGCGGACTGGCACGGACCGCCCCCAGGGTCGTGCCAGCCCCGTCGCCAGGGCCCAGAAGCCTCGGGCCTCTAGAATGCTAGTCGGGCTGTCGTGCAGGGGGGCTGCACTGGGGGCAGAAGCGGGGGTGAGGTAAGCCTCCCAGCCGCCCGGGTCCCTGCCACAGCCCTAGGCACCGAGGTGGTGGCTGCTTCGGTATCACCAGACCCGCGGGCCTCGGGGCCCAAGCGACCCCGGCTGATGGACCTTTCCGCCTGCTCTCCTGCTCTGCGGGGCCTGCACCCTCCTGACCTCCCCAGCTCCCCGACCTCACCCTGCCTGGCCCCTAGGATGCCCTGCAGAGCTCGGAGCCTCCTGGGGACAAGACAGGGCGCTGAGGAGGTGGGCAAGGTGTCACCGAGGGGTGGGGGGAGGGCTCCCCAAGTGCAAGGAAGGCGGCCACCTGCTCCAGCCTGATGGAGCCCCTCGACTCACACACCTGCAACCCCTTCCCCCCCAGCCGGCCTGAGCCAGCCAGGGGCCCCCTCTTCCTGGTGGCCTCCGAGCACCTTCCTGACACCGAGGAGACACCTCCCCGCCCCTCCTCCGCCCCTCAGGACCTCAGGGGACCAGCCACCGTCCCCAGAGGCCAGGCCGGGCAGCGGCCCGCTCCCTTCCCCTCCGGCTTCTCCGTGGGGCGCAGTGGCCAGCGCCCCACGGAGGCCCACTCTCTCCACTCAACCCAAGCGACAGGGACAGATTAAAACAAAAACCGAATCGGGGCGCTAAATGGCGGGGAGCAGGACGTGCGGCTCAGCCGCAGAGGTGGTGGTGGTGGCTTCGTGCGTCCTTGCTTGGTCACTGCCCCCCTGTTACGTGGGACGGGGAGTAAGATAAATTTGGTGTGTGAGCGCGTAAAAAGCTAAGGAGGGGTCAAAAAAAAAAAAAAAAAAAAAGAAAAAAGCCCCAGGAGAAACCAATTAAAGGGGGGTACAGATCAACTGGCGACAATTTGGGCTCCTAATTCCATCCGTAATTCTGCAAATCTCCTTGTCACTCCTGACTCCGCTACTCCAAACCCCGCAGGACCACCTCCTGCTCCAGAGCGTCCCCCCACCCAGCCCCCACTGCCCCCCACCCGCCCCTCCAACCACCAGACTTCCCACACTCCCCACCATCGTTGCCGGCCTCCCGGGAGCCCCCATTTCTGAGAGGCCCCCAGAGGACCCGCAAAGGTGCTCCCTAGGTGTGCTGGGGGGTCCCCAGGTCTTTCTCACCGGAGCACACCGAGGGGGTCAGGCTACTTTGTAAGGCACGTCTCGTTCAGCTATAGCCACCTCCAGTGCCACCAAACCCGTTCCTTGCGCCACACGGCGGGAGGGGGCATGGATGCCGGTGGGGCCCGGGGGGGCTTCGGGGCTCACACCACGGGGGTCGTGGGCAAAGGCACCTCCGTCACCTCAGACAGAGGGGTCGCCCACCTAGGCCTGGGACACACCCTCTCCCACCCGAGGAGTGCATCCCAGGGGCCCAGAGGGGAGAGCAGCCCATGAAAACCTCATCACCAAACGGCTTGGAGAAGGGGCCGAGGCAGAACGTGGTCCGACCTGCACTGGGCTGGGTTCACTCGTCTGTGTGCGTGTGTGCGTGTGAGGGTGTGCGTGCGTGAGGGGCTGTGTGTGCATGAGAGTGTGTGTGTATGTGTGCATGTACACGAGAGTGTGTGAGGGCTGCGCATGTGTGAGAGTGTGTGTGTGTGTGTGTGTGTGTGTGTGCATGTAGGGGGGTGTCTGCAGCGATGCCTGTTTTTTAGAGCGGGGATTGAGATGCGAGAATTTGGGGGGGTGTGGGTTTGGGGAGGATTGACTTTAGGGTGTATGGGGGTTTGGGCCAATTAGAGCTTATTTTCACAAATTTTGGTTTTCATGTTCTGTTCTCCCCTCCTTCGGTCTTCCTGGGAACCCCCAACCAGCTCCACGGTGATTTTCGGGGATGGAAAACAGAGCGAAGGGGCCGTGCTGTCATAGGGTGGCCAATGCTCCCTGTGGAGGGCGGGAGCCGGCTGGAGAACAAGGACGTGCCTGCCTGCAGATCTGGGGTCCCCTCCCCTCTCCTGGTCGGTCAGGGGCCCGAGCCGCGGCCAATCTGACTCGAGGTCCCTGGGGAAGAGAGGCAAGGGGGGTGCCTGATTCTTTCATGATGCCAATCATTTTGAAGTCAATTTGGTTTTAGTATTTTTTTAGCCAATTGATATTTTTAGGGTTTTTTTGGTGTTTTTTTTTTTTAAGCCAAATTACTGTTCTGGTGTTTCTAAAAAGCCAATTCGTTTTAAGGGGACTGATGTGCATGCGTGTGTGTGTCATTCAGGGCTTCATAGTCTAGTATTTTGTCGTGTGCTTTGGGGATAATTTGGGGGGATATGTAAAGCCAATTGAGTTTGTATAGTTTTGGAGGTGTTACTGCCATTCCCCTTGGCCGGATGGAGAAGGCCAAGGAGAGAAGAGCCTGACATGGGGAGGTTGGGGCACGGGGGCTGGGGGTGGGGGAGCCCGCGGAGGGAAAATGGTACCGGGAGGTGTCGGAGGCGGGACCCGATGGAACACGGCCCCCGGTCAGGAGGAGGGCACCAGGTGGACGGTGCCATTCTGCAGAATTACGACAGTTTGGCTCACTTCCGATTGGCCGACGCCTCCGGAGAGGCGCCCCCGTGGGCGGCGGGGTCGTGGGTGGGCAGGGCGATCAGGGGACGGTGACGCTTGGCCTCTCTGAACGCCTCGAGCTCCTTGGCGAGCATGCGACCCCGGCGGGCGCGCAGGAGGGCAGGCAGGCCCCTGCGCAGGCGCTGGGCCGATTGCTTCCAGCTGTCATATTGGAAGAACTTGCCCACGGGGTATCTGGGGAAGTTGTCCTGGGAGTGGGGGGGGGGGGAGGGGAGGACCAGTCAAGGGGGCCCCCGCTCCCTAGCTCCTGCCCCCAGCCGCCCTGCCCTCCCCCGTGGACCCCTCAGCGGCCTCACACGGGGAGGGGGGCTCGCCTGCCCACGGGGAACGGCTGGACGGCCGGCTCCGGGCCGGGGTCCTTGGCGTGGGGGACCCGCGAGCCCAGGAGCTGGCTGAGCCCCGGTCCCCCCAGAGGGAGGGCAGGAGAGCAGGGTCCCCACCACCACCACCACCCCCCCCCTCCCCCAGCAGCAGCGGCCCCGTGCCTACCGGAAGCACGGTCGGAGGGGTCGACACGTCCCTCTCGGACTTGGCGGGGGCGGCGCAGTAGGTCTCCAGAAGGGCCAGGTCACAGCTGCGGAAGCAACACTCTTCCACGATGCCACGGCTGCTGCGGCGGTTCACGCGGCTCGCCGGCCTGCCTGGAAGTCCCACAGGGGGAGCGAGAGCCGCCCTTGAGCACCGAGTTCACCGCAGCCAGGCAAGGGGGCGCCGGCCCCGGGGAGGCAGGGCGCCAGCCCCCTGGCCTCGCGGTGCCTCCCTCCTCGCACGGACGGTGGGCACGGCCTCCAGGGTCCACTGCCCAGGGAGGTGGGGAAAGTGCGCAGGCGTGAGCCCGTCAGGGGCCCAGCCGCCCCCCCACGATGCGGGGCGCAGGGTCCCGTCCTGAAGGCCACGCTGGGACGCAAGTGTCCTCCCTGAACAGAGCAGGACCCTGGGTGGCCCGTAGCCCTCGAGACGCCGCCGCCCCGCCGAGGCAGGCATGGGAGAAGAAGGGGAAGACGGGAGGGGAGGAGTGAGGACCTGCATGAAACCACGCCCCCCTTTCCTCCCGTCGTCCCCGCCCCTCCGCTGCTTGGGCTCCAAGGTCAGCTGCAAGGAAAAGTCCGGGCCCGCGCCTTGGAGGGGGAGGTGGAGGGGGGGGGAGGACGGGCGCCAGTGGGGAGGAGGTCCCACTGGGTGGGGGCTCGGCCCGGCCCTCCTTGCAGGGGCCTCACTCCCTGGGCACCAGACCCTACGCAGCAGCGCCACTTCCTGCCCCCAAAACGAGGCAGGTGCCAGGGCGGGGTGGGGGGGGCACAGGCAAGGCCAGGGTGGACTGGGCTTCCAAAGCATGGAGAAGCAGGAGTGCTTTTCAAAGAGAAGCTTGGAGAGACCAAGGCTGGCGTCTGTGCGGCCCGTTTCACCGCTGGGTAAGTAGAGGCTGCAGAGGGGGCTGCCGCTCGGGGAGCCGCAGGGCCAGGTGTGACCACCAGGGTCCTCACCATCTTACCTCCCCCGCCCCCACCCGCGTCTGGGCTCCTGTTGGGAACAGAGGTGGCTGAGCCCGCAGCAGGGAGCTCGCGCTCCCCACCTTCAGGGTCAGCCTGGGTCTGCTCTGCAGTCCCTCCCCCTATCCAGATAAATGCTCCCCTGAGGCCCAGCTTTCTGGGAGGGTAGGGCAATGGCCCACGCACGCCCCTGAGGAAGAGGTCACCTCCAACTGGGGGCCCCACCCAGGGCCCGGGGCAAGGAAAAGCAGCGCTCTAGGGGAAAACCCAGCAGCCCCAGGATGGACATGGAAAGAGAGAAGCCCAAGAAACAGCCAAAGCCCACGCTGAGGCCCACCCCCTCAGGCGGATGCCCCACCCCGCCCCCCAATGTCTTGTAGGCAGGGCCTCATCTCCTCTCCTGCAAGCCTGGGGTGGGGGGAGCTCGGCAACCCCCCCAGCCCATGGAGCATGCAACACACGCTTTGGTTTTTAGGGGTCTCCGATCCGTTCTACCAAACACTAAATCAGGTAATCCACAAATACCTGCCCACCATCTACATGGCAGACGCATCCCCCCCCCCCCCCCAGATGTGTGGGAAACTTTTGTGCCCACAGCCCGCCCAAGAGCAGGTCAGGAAGAAGCAGTGAAGGAAAGTCCGCCTCCCTGCCAGGACTGGGGTCTGCCTCCAGCCCACCCTGCACCCCACCCGCACCTGCTACGGCCTGGCCCCCACCTAGATCCCACCCTGCCTAGGAGGAGAGCATTCTACTTTTCATCGTGTCACAGGAAGGTCAGGGGTGTGGGCACCACCCATGCTCACTGCAGGTGCCCAGTAAATGCGGACTCCAGGGTCCCAACTGTGCTCATGGAGTCTCAGTAGCTTCCCTGTGCCTGGCCACCCACACCAGGTAGGTATCCCAGGAGGTGTCCATGGGCGTCTGGGAGACGGGAGGGAGGACTCCAGCATTTATAGAGCACCTGCTGGGTGCGCCCCCCCCCACCCCCGCCCCAACGCGCACTGGGCTACTTACTGAAGTAAAAGCCGCGGTCCCCACAGACAAACTGGAGGGTGTCCACCAGCTCCCCGCCGCACAGGGTCTCACTGGGGCGGTAAGCAGCAAAGCAGCACGAGGCCAAGGCCAAGAAGGTGAGCAACACCAGCATCGACTTCCCCATTGGGACCCCCATCGGCATCTAGGGGCGGAGAGAGGAGGCCATGAGCCAAGTCCAGGGCCGGAGGCCACTCCCGCTGCCCCGCCAGGCCGGGGCCTCTGGGAGACACCAGCCCAGCCACCTCCTGATTCCAAGTTCGGTTAAGGCTTTAGATCGCCATGTCCTAAACGTGGCTGCTCTAATGACAGAAAGAACGCGTGCTCTCCTGCCCAGGCGGGGTGCGCAGTCGCCCCAGGTTTGAGCGGATGTGTGTGAAGCACGTCTTTGATGGGCACCAAGTTTCACGAGGGGATGATGGCCCCCTCCGTCACCACCGCAGGGGCTCAGCCACACCCCAGAGCCGCAGGGGACAGGGCTGGACACTGAACCTGGCCTCTGTCCTATGAAGTCATGGGGGGGGCGGGACCAGCGCAGGGCAGTGGCCACTCCGCGGGCCTCCCCGCATCAGCCAAGATGGCAGACGGCCCCACCCCACCGCAGAGCTGTGTGCATCCCAGAGGACCGCCCCCCCCCCCCAAGCAGCAGGGGTCCTGCTGTGCCAATCCCACCCCTTCCCCCTCCCCCACAGCCTCTTCCACCCTCCCAGCCACCCCAACCCCCCCACCCCGGGGACCGAGCAAAGCTCAGGTTGAGGATCCAGTGGTTACTATGCAGTGCCAGCCACACTTCCGGGGGCCTCATTCTCCTGAATCGCCCAGTCCCCCACTCCAGCCTGCCCTGGGCACCCCAAAACACACAAAAAGGCCCCAGGCCTCCTCTCCGGGCCTGGCATCACACCCACCCTCCAGGGCCAGGCACCTCAAGGACCCTGTGGGTTCATCAGACCCTCTCCCCACTGAGGTACCAAACCCCACCCAGGGAGCTGGAGAGAACAAGTCAGGCCAGCTGGAGGCTGGACACCAGGTCCTTGGGGCCCAGTCGGGACCGAGAAGCACGTCTCGGGACACACCCCCTGCACGGGCTGTGTGGCTGCAAGGCCCCGGGGCCAGGGTTAACCAGGCCCCTTAAGGCTTGGGAGGGCTTGGGAGGGGGCCTCAGGTTCTCTTTTAGACCCAGCAAGCTGCCCCTGCCCCCTCCAGAAAGTGGAAGCCCCCCCCCTCCCAACCACAGGCAGGTAGTCCCTGGAAGCCCTCCACAGGCCCAGGTACAAGCCCCTTCTGGGGCGACAGTCACGGCCCAGTGCCTCCGAGCCCACTGGCACCCTGAGGCTACCCAAGCCGGGGGCTGGGCAGCCTGCCCGGATGTGCCCCTCCCAGGCTCCACACCCGGTGGGCCCGGGGCGGGGCGGGGCGGGGCGTGGGGTGGGGGGGGGGCCACCACGCAGCATGCCCCTTCCCAGCCTGGAGCGAGGCCGCTGCACGCTAGGCCCAGGGAATTCTGGTGCCATAAATCGTGCAGGAGAGAAGGCAACCAAGAAGGGAGCACAGTCCCGCTTCAACTCGGCTAAAGAGCAGAGGCCAGCTCCACAGGGGGGGTGTGAAGCGTGCCCCCCCTCACCTCCTCCCGCCTTGGACCAGGCCCCAGCCAGTCTCCCAAGCTGCCCCCCGCCGCTGCCCGCTTCCAAATTCTAAGAACAATCTGGCCAGCTAGTGACTGGGCGCCTTCCGAGCGAGCCACAGCTGCACCCTCTGCAAACCAGCCACTCCAGTGAGGGGTCCCGGCCGGCACCCGGGAGAGCAGAGGCCGGGTGAGAGGCGTGCCCTCTGGGCCAGGTGAGCCAGCGGTGGCGGGGAGGAGGGAGGCCAGGGGCGAGGACGGCAGAGGCGGAGAGGAGGGGCTGAGGGGCTGAGGGGCTGAGGCCCGAGCCCCCCCCCCACCCCCCGTCAGCGGGGGCGGGCAGGGCAGGGCGGGCCGGAGCGAGAGGGCAGCGGGGGTCCTCGCTCAACAGCCCCGGTTACCTGCAGCTGGACAGGAGGCTCGCTGGGGCTGGAGGAGGAGGAGGAGGAGGAGGAGGAGGAGGCTGGAAGGACTGCCTCACAGGAGAAGCTAATGTCCAGTTTGCAGGCTGGTCAGTGCTTTGGCTTTTATGTCTGAGCCGGCTCCTCCCAGCCCCGGCTCCACCCTACCCCCCACCCCTCTCCCTGCTGACCACTCCCCCCGCCCCCTTTGCTCCCGCCCCCTCCCTCTTCCCAGCCAGTCCCTTCTCTCCCGCACCCCCAACAACTTGCTCCGGACCATCCCTCAGCAAAGTACCCCGGGGTGGGGGTGGGGGTGGGGGTGGGGGTGGGGGGCTCCTCCTGCACCCCCAGCCCCTCTAGGCGCCAGGCAGTGGGGGGAAGGGGAGGCAGGGGGGCTGCTCTACACCCCCTTGCATGGAAAGTTCCATCTACCCCACTGGGCAGGGGCAGCTACCCTCTCCAGACTGTACACTCTTGCCCTTCGGAGCCTCCCACCGGCCCCTCTCCCCAGATTCCCTGGTGGAAACGTTGGGGACAGGGACAGGGACAGGGAAGGGGCTGTGTGTGTGGGGGGGGGGTGCACCCGCGCGTGGGGAGGAGGGGGTCAACTGCAAATGTGGCGCCGGGTGTGAGCCTTTTGCCAACTCGCCCCCTGTTCCATCCTGGCCCCGCCCACCCCGTTTTCCTCCTTCAGTCTTGCTGGCACGGCGTCAACATACCAGGGTGGGTTTCTGAGGCTCGCGCCCCTCCTCGTTACCCGGCACCCTGGGGGACACGGCCCGCCCCCGCACGGCCCAAATCGCAGGCTTTCAGCAACACCCCGCTGCACCCACAAGCCGACCAGGAAGTCGCCTCTGCAGACAGCTCGCACCTCCCTGGGCACTTCCCGAAGCCCCCAGCCGGCCCCCCACCCCCACCCCCACCCCACCCCCGCCCCTCCTCCGCGGCGCTGGGGAGAGCGCGGGCTTCGCCACGGGGAGCCGGACCCGCGGCCTCCTCCCCTCCCCCCCCACCCCAGCCCGGGGCCCGCCGGGGCCCCCCGGCCCGGCCCGGCCCGGCCGGCCCGCACGCCGCTTACCTGGAAGCCGGCACAGCTGCGGCCCACCTCCCTGCTGCGTATCGCAAACCGAGCAGCGGGCGCTGGCCCTCCTGCCGGACACTCCTGTGCCAGCGCCGCTCTGGCCGAGTCGCGGGGGCCGAATGTGCGACGGGGCAGAACGGGGGGATGGCTTTTTTTTGGGGGGGGGGACTCGTCTGATCGTCTGGGGAGGGCGGGCTGTCCGCGGGCTGGGGCGGGCCAGATGTTGTACTTTTAGGGGGGGAAAGGGTATCGGGAGATGAGGTCAGCTGTTGTATCAAGGATAGAGGGGGGCAGAGATAGAGAGAGACACAGAGAGAACGTGAAAGGGGGGGGGG